GACACCTGCACAAGCCCACTATTTTCGAGACCAGGAGATGTCGCTGACCTACCCATTACACAGAAACTAACACACGGAGGCAGACAAAAGGAGACAGAAGAATATGTTGCAAACGAAGGAACCAGGCAATACCTCAGAAAAAGAGCTAAATAAAAACGGAGATAAGCAACCTACTTCGTAAAGAGTTCAAAGTAACGGTACTAAAGATGCTCACCAGAATGGAGAGAGGAGTAGAGGAACTCGGTGAGAACATCATCAAAGAGAAAATATTTAAAAGAACCAATATCTGAAGAATCACTGAAATGAAAGATACACTAGAGGGAATCAGAGCAGATTAGAGGGTGCAGACTGGACCAGTGGTCTGGAAGACACCTAGTGGAAAGCAGCCATGACGAAGAGCAGGGGGAAAAAACGATAATGAAAGAAATGATAGGTTAAGGGACCTCTGTGACATCAAATGGACTAACAGTCACATTATATGAGCTCCCAAAGTCGGGGAGAGTAAGGAGCAGAAAATGTATGTGAAGAAATAATAGGGGCGCCTGGGTGGCTTAGTCGGTTAAGCGTCCTACTTTCGCTTAGGTCATGATCTCGCGGTTCGTGGGTTCGAGCCCCGCGTCAGGCTCTGTGCTGACTGCCAGCTCGGAGCCTGGAGCCTGTTTCAGTCTGTGACTCCCTCTCTCTCTGACCCTCCCCTGCTCACGCTGTCTCTCTCTCTCTCTCCTAGAAATTAAAAAAAAAAAAAAAAGAAATAATAGCTGAGATTTTCCCTAACCAGGGGAAAGAAACAGACATTCAGGTCCAGGAGGCAGAGAGAGCCCCAAAGAAGACAAACTCAAGGAGGTCTACCCCAAGACACATGATAATTAAAATGCCAAAAATTAAAGATAAAGACAATCTTATAAACATCAAGGGGGTGCCTGGGTGGCTCAGTTGGTTAAGCGTCCGACTTCAGCTCAGGCCATGATCTCACGGTTTGTGAGTTCGAGCCCCGCATCAGGCTCTGTGCTGACAGCTCAGAGCCTGGAGGCTGCTTTGGATTCTGTGTCTCCCTCTCTTTCTGACCCTCCCCTGCTCGCACTCTCTCTCAGAAATAAATAAAAACATTAAAAAGAAGCATCAAGAGAAAAATACACAATTATGCACAAGAGACACTTCATAAGGCTATCAGCTAATTTTTTAGCAGAAATTTTGCAGGACATGAAGGAGTGGCATGATATAGTCAAAGTGCTGAAAGGAAAAAAACCACCTTTCAATCTTAAAAAAACAAACAAACAACCCTTACAACCGGAGAGGAGAAGAGCATGGCAGCAGAGAAGGACTCTAGTCTCATCTGGTCCCATGAACACAACTGGGTAACTACCAAATCATTCTAAATACCCCAAAATTGATCTGAAGTCTAACGGAACAAACTCCACAACTTCTCCCTTTGATGTTCTTTCCACATCAAAGAAGGTAGGAAGTTCAGAGATGCGGTTTAGGGGAGAAATGGATCACAGGTACTGCAGAGTGGAGGGAGCTGTGGTCATGAAGCGGGGGTGTGGGGGGGGAGAAAGAGAAAGAGAGAGAGAGAGAGCGCGAGAGCGAGCATACAGGGGAATGCACAAGGAGAAAGTCTCCCCAAAAATCACTGGCTTGGAAAATGAGAGGGCCTGAATTTAATGAGGTCTTGCAATGAGTGGGGCTTAAGGCCCCACTGGAGCTGTAAAGGTGAGCAGGCTTGGCTGGGATAGAGACCTAAGGGTGCTGCCCTGCTCCTAGAGAAAAGTCAGGCAAACAACCTGGGGGGGAGGGGTGCAGACAGCATGGAAACAGCATCGGAAGCTTGGGACACAATAGGGGAAGGTTATTTGTTCTTTTTGGAGTGCATCCCTGAGAGGCAGCATTCGAGAGAGGCACTTCTCTGAAACAGGAACAACCAGGCACCACTTCCCTCCCTCCAATCCTCCGCGCAAACCCAGAACGACCTGCAGGAAGCAGCACAGCACTGACTCTGGCTGCCTGACTTGCATACACCAAGCCCCACCCCTCTTGCTCTGGTGCAACTGCTCTTCTCAGTCAACTTTGCCTCAGTCCCAGCTTGGTAGGCCCCTCCCCCAGAGGACCAGTGCAGTCCCCTACCCACACCATGCCTCTAAGGCCTGGGGGTTTTAAAGGTCAGCAGGCTTGGCTGGGATAGAGCCAGGAGGGCCCAGCCCTGCTGCTGGAGAGAACGCAGACAAAAAACCCAGAGGCAGACAGCATTAAAACAACTATCGGAAAACACCTGGCGCACACAGTGAGGGTAGGGGGTGAGATTATTTGCTCTTTTCAGAGCACTTCCCTGAGAGGTAGCTTTCTCGAAGATGCTTCTCTGGAAATAAAGGAGCTGGCGGGAGCCATTTCCCTCCCCACCCCTGAGCATAAACGCAGAGCCACCAAAGAGTAGCAGCTCAGCACCTACATTAGCGGCTTAACTTGCTTACAGCAAGCCCCACCCCCTTGTGTTCTAGAAGGACTGCCCTTCTAAGTCAAATGTGCCTCAGTCCCAGCATGGAGGGCCCCTTCCTCAGAAGACTAGCACAAGATGCTTCCCACACCGAGCTTCCTGACCACAGAGTTCTACAGAGCCTCAGTTCCGGTGGGATTGGTGTCAGGTCTCATTTCACAAGCAGACCAGAGCACGCCTAGCTAAACTCACCACCTCCAGGCCAGGGACCAAACACTGCCCACAGAAGGCAAGAAGAGCCTCTGCAAATGACTATCCTTAAGGATAGAGCCACCACATCACCACAGCAGAGTGCGTGCAGCACACACCAGAGACACTAGCTGAAACACTAGGCCCTGGGCAGTTAAAAAACACTGAAGACAACACAAATAAACAGAAAGATATACCATGTTCACAGATTGGAAGGATACTGTTAAAATTTTCATACTACCCAAAGCAATCTATAAATTAATACAATCCTTATAAAAATTCCAACTGTTTTTTACAGAACTAGAATAATCGCAAAATTTGTATGCAACCACAAAAGTCACCCCCCCCAGCTACAAATAGTCCAATTACAAAAAGGGGCACAAGACATGAATAGATGTTTCTCCAAAGAAGACATACAAAGGGACAGCAGACATATGAAAAGATGCTCAACATCATTAGTCATCAGGAAAACGCACATCAAAACCACAACGAGGTATCACCTTACAGTCAGAATGGCTATTATCAAAAAGACAAAAAATAACAAGTCTTGGCAACGATGGAGAAAGGGGAACCCTCATGCACTGTTGGCATGGTAGGAATGTAAATTGGTGCAGCCACTTTGGAAAACAGAATGGAGCTTCCTCAAAAAATAAAAAATAGAAATACCATACCACCCAATTAATTCTACTTTCAGGTATTTACCCAAAGAAAAAGAAGACACTGATTCAAAAAGATTTAAGTGTTTTGGTCACTGAATTATTTATAATAGCCAAGATATGGAAGCAACCTAAGTACCCATCTATATAGATGGGGTATATATAAATACAATAGAATATGTTCTGCCATAAAAAGGAATGAATCTTGTCATTTGTCACATGGATGGACCTAAAGGGCATTACAAAGAAATACAAATACTATATGATTTCACTTACATGTGGAATCTAAAAAATAAATGAACAAAAAGAGGAGTGGTGGATGCCAGAGGGATGGGAGAAATTTGTGAACGGGATTAAGAAATACAAATTTCCAGTTATAAAAATAAGTCATGGGGATGAGAAGTACAGTATAAGGAATATAGTCAATAATGTCGTGATAAGATGGTAACTACATGTACCATGGCGAACATTTTGTAATACATAATTGTTGAATCGGTATATTGCACACCTGAAAGTATTTTTTGAAAGTAATTATTTAACTATAGTTCAATTAAAAATAAAATATTAATTATGTGCTGAATGCCTCATGTGAGTAGACAATGTACTAAAATATCATGAGTCCCACAACATTTCAAGGAAGAGTTTGCGTCTAAAGTCACAAATAGTGGAAGAGTCAGGTATTTCTAGCCAGCTGTGGGCGATGTCCTTCCGTGTATAAGCTGCTACTCCAAGGAAGGGTTTGAAGAACATCAACATCACCTGAGACCTTGTTACATCGGTATCATCACAGACCTGTTAAATCAGAATCTGCATGTCAACAAGTGATTCCTACGTACATTCATTCGAGAAGCCTTGAGTTACGCCACACTGGCCCTCTCCACCACATTTCTAATCTGGTATAAGGTGGACTCAAACAAGTCATATTGATAAGCCAAGGGCAACCTTTCGTTTGTGGAATTCTGCAGCTGATGCTAATTGCTTTTAAGCATCAATTAATAAATGAATTCGTTAAGGCCTGACGAAGGCTATTCATTTCTAAAAAGGAAGATCTCTAGAGACATATTGCCTCTGAAATCATATTGTTCACACATTCCTTTTTGAGATAGCTTTTATGTTTTAAATCAAAAGCCAGTAAGGTAACTGTGTGAAGCTCAGTGAAGCGTTCCATGAAATACCATTTACCTGAAGAGTGCTTTGTAGGTACCAAGTGCCTTTTTCATATTTCTTTGACCACAAGAGTTTATTATTGGGACTCAGGTAAATTGTATAAGGTCACATAACAGGTGATAACAGCAGGACTATGACTCAAAGACAGTTCCTCTGACTTCCATTTCCACGTCTGTTTCCCCACACATGACTGAACAATTTTGGCAAACACCATAACTATGTAGCAGAGGAGTCATTTCTCAGAGAAGAGAGCAGCCCTGTTTCAGTGGTTCCTGCGGATGTAATCTTGGAGTTACCACAGGGAGAAGTCCCCATTTCCACACCCGGGGAACCCAGACTTCTGTCACAGCCTTATTCTTGAGAGACTTCTATAGGTTTTGGTGGGGAATGAGAGGTAGGAAGGAGCACTGATATGCTATTGGAGTAACTTTTCTCTGAGATAACCCAAATCATTGGGAACATCGACAAGCCTGGCTGAAATAACATTTAAGTCTTTATACTTCATTTAAGGATGTATTTATTTACAAGATACAAATGCTTAATATTTAATAGGAATTAAAGTGCTTAATTTTACAATGTTTCCAATTCTATGCCTTTATGACCAAATATACATATGTTACACAATATATACACTATATGCAAGTATTTTACATTCATATAGCTAGAAAAGAATTACTTTTTGTGTACACTTTTTCACATTTGAGTTAACTCTAAAATTCTGATAACATACCATTTCAAACGGATCAGTCAACAATTCAAAAACCCAGATAACACGTATTCAAAAATATCAGTCAATTGTCACTCACAAAATAAAATGCTAGTTTGGTTAAAAAAAAGTTTTATATACAGACATGATTGCTAATGAATGGAGACCCCTTCCCCAAAGTGATACATTCCAACATCCACGTAATATGTAATATATAATACAATTCTGTTATTATAATGGTCCCCACAGACTACCGTGTTTCTTTCCAATCCTATGGATATATCACTCTATGTATTTGGTATTTACTTATTAAAATATGCTACAATGAGATTTCTTGATTTACTTTCTCACTAAATCTACCAAAATGAATTTTAGGAAGAAGGATACCATCATGTAATCCTCAGTGACCCCGACGAGTTAAAAACTATCTTGTAGAAGCCATGTGCTAGTTCTTCCAAATGCTCAGTCCAAAAAGTAGAAAACCATGATTGACTTTAGAGGAATTTTTTTTTTTTTTACCTCAGAAAACAGTGCAGAAAATGGCCCAATAGGATGAAAGTCTTTTAAGCCTAAAGGAAAAGGTAAGTAATGGAAAAAGACATAGGGGCAACAGACCCCATCAGTATGCAATTACGAAGATTTCTATTTCATAGCTCATATCCTATAGTTCATTATCTACCTGCTGCAGTTGAAGTATTTTTCTCTTAACATACGCTGCTCTGATCGCGAGATCAGCAGTCTCTTTCTGTCCACCTCTCTGTTCACTCTTGCTTATTTCAGTTCCTAATTTTTTATTCCTCTATACTGTATCAGTAAAGAAAGCAAAATTATCTGCTCATAAGAATGATTACGGGGCATACAGAAGAACGAATTGTTTTAAAAATCCGTGTAAATAATTTATGTTAAAATATTTAAGTGAAGGGAACAGTTTCTATAAAAATTTCATTCCTATGGAAAAACAGAGTTGGAAATCAAGTGTTTTTACATATATACATATATGCATAAATTCACAGAAAGGGTTTTAAAAGTAGATCTAGTGGTCTTTATATATCAGACTCATATTTTCTAAATCTGAAGAATCTATAGTAGATAGTAATATGAAAATAAAAAGCAATTTGATTCTACTAAAATTGGATGAGAATGAAGAATTAACACGATCCACTACAGGTGTCAATACAGTTCTACAGAATAAGAACTGGTTAGCCACAGTTTTTATATTAATACATTCTTGAAGAATACAAAATTGAATAACAAAAACATTATGACATTCTTGCCTTTTGAATTCATTTTAGCTTATCAATACCATGTGCTTAATCTTAGACCTGCTAACACAAACATCGTGTGATGCAAGAAATTTTAGTTAATCTTCTATTCTGTATTATAGGAGGATACCCGGAAAAAAAAATAAGACCTTTGTTCCTTAGAAGTTTATTTGCTCCTGTTGGTGCCCTTTTCTCTGGATATATCTAGTCCAGAAAGATAATAATTAGAGTTATTACAGACAATACTTTCAGAATAAGAACTTAAGGCTTTAAATATAATCAGAAGTGGGATCTAAAATTTGAAGGGAAAACAACCACCCTGTTTCCACAAAGTTGACAAGAAAAACAGAACTGTGAACTCACAGAAGTATTTTTGATGTAAGCATTTTAAAGGCATCAATGAATCTTTAACAGCCCTGCAGCACTATGAAGGTTGTCGTTTTCTTTAGATACTTATGACTACAACAAGTACTTTTTAAAAAAATCCAAATGTGTCTCTATGTATGGGACAGGGTACATTTAAAAAGTTTTTGTAAAAAGCTTAGTAATTTTTTAGGTTGGAGTATTTGTTTTTAATTGGGGTAGGTCACCCAGTGAAGGTAAGTACACCAACCCGTATGTTGTGTTAAACTTCATGGAAAATGAAAGGAGCCTGATGAAGTAGTGCAGATGTGCTTAATTCTTTCACCATCCATACCCTTTGCAAAAGTAAAAATGCTCTTGACAGTTACTTGAATCCAAGGAATAATGCCCCCCCTTCTCTTCCCCAGAAGTCATAGTATCACTTCTAGAAGTTAATTCTCTATATCCATATTGTGGCTAGAGGCATTCGTATTAAAATTTCAGTATAAAAACATACCCTGAAGAATTTTATTGCTTGCATACATGATGGCATTGCAGATGCCATTATTACAAAAGTGGCTGGTGGCATTTATTACTGAGTCCCACTTAAAACCTGGAGAGGAGTCTGCACTACATTTCATACTTAATATACCAATGGTAGACTTTCAATAAATGCAAAATTTAAGTTTAAAACATTTGAATCTTTGTAATGGGTAGCAGTTTTTATTGATGAAAGTACTTTTTAAGTTTGGAGGAAGGGCACTTTAAAGATGACTTGGAAAGCACCAAATTAGGGAAAATAAAGAATAAAACCTATAGGGAATGTTGTTTTTAATAGGAAAGCAATCAATTGTTTTTTTATGTTCAATTTGTCACAACTGCTCAGGGGTGTCAGTAAAGACATAGATGGTTCTTGAAACCAATCACACTTTGAGGTCTTCTGGTTTTGCCGAGTGTTTACTAAATGCCTAAGAGTACACCCTTGCCTTTCTCCAAGTAAAAGCATGAGTGATTCTTTAAGAGTACACAGGTAAGGCTGCTTCATTGCTTCTTTTTGTGCTTGTCTAAAGAACATGGGGTGGAACATGAAGATGGTGACTGAAGAGCCAGAAATTCTCTTCAGGTACTAATATTTCAAAGATAATATTAAGAGCACGATGATGTTCTTTTTACAGGAGTGTTCTCTCAATAACCTAAATTAAATAACACTGATATTTATTCAGCCAAAAGTTGAGTGTGTCCATATCACTCCCTTTCCAGGAGAGAACTTATGGGAGGGAAAGTATAGTCTACTTGCTGTTCCTAAGAGTTTTCAAAACTAACTTGGCCCATAAATCTTCTACGTGGCTCTTAGGTTTCCATTGCTTTGTCCACATTTACAAAAGTCATGTTGCACTGATAATCATTCTTCATTTTTATGGCTTCTCTTAAGCTTAAGAACACCAACACAATGTCTATAGTTATAGTGTAACCTTCTCAAAAGCCACCCTGAACACACACACCCCAACACATGATTGGCAGCTAGGGAAGAGAAGCAATGTAACATTTCTTTCAGTCTATCCTTTATTTGATAGGGCCTAAGAAGCTACCTTTACCTCTTTCTGACTCCAAATAGTTGGTTTAACGTTAATAATCATGGCTGACTTTCCTTTAGAGAGGAAGGCAATCTAATTCTGTCTGCCATAATTAACCTTCTTTGGAGTTGGGGGGGAAAAATGGAAGATATTTCAGATATTTCTTAAAACAGCAGGCCTGAATAAATGTGTGGCAGTCTCAAATTCCGAGTGAATCTATTCTACATTTAAGGTGTTATCCTCAAAGGCCAGGATAGTGGGGTCATTCTTGTGGATTTCTAGCTGACTTAGGCATTTAAATGTGATAATGTCTGGGGCATAACAGGGTACATGGGGGGGGGGGGAACTAATTAGAGAAAAAGATTAAGTCAAATAATCAACCTAATGTGAGATTTTATTCACAACTACAGTATGGTGACAAGTAGCCTTTGTACAAGAAATCATGTTTTGACTATTAAAAATTCCCCGGAAGATGAGAAAAAATGCTCAGACTCTCCTCAATCATCTTGTACCTCCCCCAAACCTGCCATTAAAATATTGCTTTTCATTACTGTGTTTCCCTCTCCTCTTCCTCACTGAGGTGGTTTAAAGAGTTGAGCATGAACTTCCTCTAATATTCATCTCCCTGCGTCTCGAACACAGGTGATCACGTGTGAATTCTGTTCCCTGTCAGACAAAGGAATAGGCCCACACAGGTATCTTAAGTGTTAGTTAACATGATTAACAGTCATGGAAAAGAAAAACATTACAATCAATGTAGCTTCCCTATGTCCCAGTTCTATACAGAGTCAGGTATCTTGTACAGTTTAGGTTTCTGTGAAAATTTGCGCACATGCTGATATTAACTGCTGCAGCAATTGCAGGACTGTGAAAGGTAAAACAACCTGTGTGACTTTGCCCATCCCAGTGACTAAAGTGTACTTTATCTGAGAATAATCAAGACCAAAGCATTAATTACACCCTCATCATATATTTCAATAGGTATTATTAGCACCTTCAAAGAGAGGCACTGCTTTAAATAGGCACAGAACAAAAAAATAGTACTTTAAAAATACTGTTGGAACTAATATATCCCATGCCACATAAATTACTGCTTTTTCTTATTATAAAAATATCAATACCCTTAAGATGTCAATCAGTTAAACATAAATCACCAAAAACATTTCTTAAAGTTTAGAACACCGTTCGATTGCAAGATAAAACATGCTTTATATTTAAAAAATAAATTAGAGACAAATATGAACCTAAAGCTCAAGAGAAAAGCATGTATAATATAATTATATTCATATTTAATACTATATACACATAATTGCTATATACTTGAGATATTTTATTCTTAGGAGTATTTCTACAAAAACAAATATTATCTTTTCTTAATAAGTTGAAAGTTTGAACACCAAAAATTTGTCCTTTTTGTTTTAAAAGAACATACATTATTTATGCAGCTTGAGCTTTATAAACTAAATTAAATAAGTTAATAGCCTAAACTGTCCCTGTATTTATTTATTTATTTATTTATTTATTTATTTATTACCACGGATCTATTTTGGCAACATGGAGGTATATCTTTCAAACTGTTACAAGTCCTACCTGTGAGGAGAAGACATTACAGGACCTTAAATGGAGGTGGCCTATTCTAACCTGATAGTGATAGAATCCACTGATAACATTTTCTTCACGACAAAAGTACATATGCAAGGAATAGCTCATTAAAAAATGCTCCATTTTCACATTATTTCAAACTTTTATCGGTAGAATGGCTCTGCACATCAGTTTCACTATGAATACAGAAACACAGGAAAGTACTTCCCCAAAAGATGCATTTAAGAGCCTATATTTTTCAACATAAAGTGCTAAGAAATGAATGAGGAGGGTTGGGAATGTCTGGAGCTGTAAATCTTGAGACCCCCACACCATGGCTGGTCCCCGAGTTCAGCATTCCGATTTTTTCTTAGGTTCAGGATGATCATCCAAGGTGGTTGGATGCTTGTTGGGACCATCTGGTGTCTCACCTGTGACAGCTAAAAAGATGATTTTCAGCCACTTCTGTTTCAGTTCCTCACTGTCTGCAGCAAAGCTGTGCACAGACTTGGACTGGGTCAGTTTGAAACTGTGTGGCAGGTCTGCACTCCTCGGCATATCGTCCACAATGTAGCCAAGGAGTGGGATGGTGGCCTGGGCTCGGACATCCTAGGAAAAAACATGGTACATAGCATGAGCTGTATTAGCTGCTGTGCGTAGGCCTGTGTGACCTGGCTCCCACTAAACCTCTTTTCTTACCACTGTTCCACACAGACGCACCCTGTGAGCTCTCTGTGGACAGGGATGGGCATCCAGGTTTCACATGCTCCCTGTACATGAGGCCACTGATAATGCTGGCTGAATAAATTAATGAAAGAGAGCTGTTGCCTAAATCAGCTAGGATGCACTGATCCTACACCCCCTCTCTGTGAAGGAGTTCGTTCAACTCTTCATTCAGATGGAAAAGGGAAAAAAATAATAGTTACTGTATAAAACCCGTAAATGTTGACGAGGATCTCATTACCAAATGCAGTTTTATCTGGTGACCCAGATAAATTCAGGCATCAATTTATTTATGGACAAAAAAGAAGTTATAGAGAAAACAAACAGAAGATAATATATGCTTTGGTATTTGTAGTCTATTTCTAAAATAAAGTTTTCCTAGCTCTTAATGTAGATGTAGGCTAAAGTACGACAGATACATTTAAGATTTTACATATTCCCAGGTGAACACAGGTGTTTTTCTTTTTCTTTTTAATTTTTTATTTATTTTTTTTAATGAACACAGGTGTTTTTCAAACACAACACAACTCACAGTGCCCGGTGCGGCTCTGGTGAGAAGCTAAGCCTGCATGTCTGCTGTTCCCACAGATTTAGCTCACATCCATGCACACATGGCTCTCAAACACTTGCTACTGGATGTTAATCCAAGGTTGATATAAATTCCCCTTCCTCTCAAAGTCCTTTCTTTTTCAGGTATCCATCCATTCAGGAAAAAAAACCCCGACTTATCATAATTATTTCCTGTCATTATAAAGGCTCCTTCTCTTCCTTGCTTCTCCCTCTGCTTCACCCCTTCCGTCTCATGCCCCTTCCTAATCCAACTCACCCCTTCTCAAACCACTGGATAGGAATGAGGAAGGGAAGAGACAAATGGGGCACGAGGTGAAGCAATTATGGGCTATCTCTTAAAAAGTCAGCCTAAAAAATTTTTAAATCAGTTGAAATAAACTTGAATTTTAGTTACTGATTATTTTTCAATTGTAATGAAAGACAATGCAACTGGCTGAACTCTTGTTCTGTAGAGGAGTAATGGCAGGATTTTGATTTCAGTGTCTTCACCTCCCTTTGTGCCCCAGGGACTCCATCCCCTCAGAAAAATGCAGTCTACATACCTGAGGGGCACCGTACATGTACAGCACGAGAGGGTCTTGTTTGGGGATCACACACCAAGCTTTCTGCCAAGGTTTCGACTTCTCCATATACTGAAGAAAGCTGCACACTATGCTGTTTCCAGATACTTCTGCTGATTCAATCTAGAACAATATAATGGAAGGAGAGTGAGAGAGAGAGAACAGAAAATGAACCACACAGAGAAGGAGTTCACCTTATTGGAACATTCGTCAAGTACAATATATTCATATAAAATGTCTCGTGGGGACGTCCAAAAAGAGTTCATCCTCAATTATTATTTAAACACTTATCTGATCTTTTATGAACAAGGGGAAATATTTAAGTATTACCAGACCTCAAATTTAAATAAAGTTAAACATTTATTGAATGTTTGCTATAAAGGCACTTTTCTTAGTTAACTATGTGTTTATTTCATTTAATCCTCATACCAAGAAGATACCACTTTCATTGTCTTTGAGTTGCAGAAGTGAAATTCCTTTCCCAGGTCATATATGTAGGAATTGGCATGCTAGAATTTGGATCTGGATTCAGAACCTGAACATTTTTTTCTTTTAATGTTTGTTTATTTTTGGAGAGGAGAGACAGAGCATGAGAGGAGGAGGCACAGAGAGGGAGACACAGAATCTGAAGCAAGCTCCAGGCTCTGAGCTGTCAGCACAGAGACCAACGTAGGGCTCGAACTCACCAACCGCGAGATCATGACCTGACCTGAAGTCGGACACTTAACCGACTGAGCCACCCACGTCCCCTCAGAGCCTGAACTTTTAACCACAATGCTATGCCAGCATCAACAGTGTAATGATGCAATAGCAAAAAGGCAAATACTGACCAGCAATCATTACCCTGGAACCTCAGATAATTTACAAGTTTTAAAAATTACAACAATTCTTTGTAGACCCATTTATAGTGTTCTGCTTTGTCTCCTGATATCTATCTATCTATCTATCTATCTATCTATCTATCTATCTATCTATCTGGCTGAAAAGGGAACAAAATCATTTGACTAAATGATAGATTTTATTATACATATTATAGGAAGAAAATGGTTTGCATCTATTTTCAATTGCTTGGATCCTTAGGATAGCACTACTCAATGCCATCCACTGGACAGTGTTGGTTCACCAACAGCTTTGTTATCCATTCAAGATAAAGCACAGAAAGTAAGAGTAAGCACTTAGAAACTTTTAGAGCGATTTGACTTTGTGTAGACATGCAAACATTTTACAAACAGAGAGAGCTGTGTGATTTGGAAATAAAACTGGCCCTTCATCACTGATTTCTTTAAGAAGCACTGGCAGGCAAACTACAGCCCACCACTCCACCACCTGTTTATGAATGGCCTATGAGATAAGACTTTTCTTTTAGAATTTTTTTGTTTTTTTATAGATGAAATTTAAAAATCAATCTGATGACAGGGAACACTAACTTTGGACTCTAATTAAATAAAATGTCATCTCCCATACTCAGAAAGAATTCCCATCTTATTTTCATATGATAAAAAACTATACTACATTATTATTGTATTTCAATTGTCAATATAATTTGTGAAAATGTGTTTTCTTTCTTGTCCTAGAAGTAATATTTTCAGTTTTTCCTCCTGGCCTGCAAAGACTAAAACAGTTTCTCTTTGACCCTTTATAGGAAAAGTATATTGACTTCTGGTCTAGAGCACACAAAACACTAGGTGGCATGAAGCAAGTTTCAAATATGCAAGTATGTGTGTGTCTACATGCACATATGCATACTTACCTTCTATTTATAGACCTCACATAATATATTTATTTGATTAAATATATGTAGGTTTTTCAAAAAAACTACCTAGAGATTTTAAATTCAGAGATACAACCTGAAACCCATCCCTTAAAACAAGTTATTGGACTCATTATATTATGCCAATTGCTGTGTTTAAGTCTTGAGGCTGTGTTCTTGGGAGGCAATGAAACATGTCTTTCCCCGTTCCTTGCCAGGGAAAGCCCCACTTACGTCTGCCTACAAGCAACACGTATACCCTAGAGGAATTCAAAGTTATACTTTCAGCTTGTCAGCCTTAAATGGACCCTGAAGTTTATGCTTCTTATTCAGTTAACAGAAATGGCCTTTGTATGCTTATACTGCATAGATGCTCAATAAACAGTCATTGATTCTTAATAAACCATGGAAATTCGTAGAAAATAAAGTATGTCTATGACTTTAGATACAGAAGATTCTGATCATGAGCCTATTCTTCATAGACTTTCCAGGCTACCTTGAACTTTCTGCCACAAAGGCCTTATTATAGAATTTATTCCTTATGTTAATATCTCTGAGTGTGAAACTCATTTCAGGTACAAGCTGCATTATAGTGCCCAGGCTTGGGAGGTTCTGACTATTCTAAAAAATGAGTCAAATTCACTTGCTAGGTATTTCAAGAATATTTCAAAGCCGTTACCATATTACTGTCATGAGCTGTTAAATGATGTTTTTTTTTTTCTAATTTTTAAAATATTTTTATTTATTTCTGAGAGAGAGACAGACAGTGTGAGCAAGGGAGGGTCAGAGAGAGAGGGAGACACAGAATCTGAAACAGGCTCCAGGCTTTGAGCTAGCTGTCAGCACAGAGCCCGATGCAGGGCTTGAAGCCACGAACTGTGAGATTATGACCTGACTGAAGCCGGACGCTTAACCAACTGAGCCACCCAGGTGCCCCGTAAATGAGGTTTTTAACACAACAAGTTGGAAGACTTTTTTCAGGTAATAAAGTAATAGTTTAATATGAATTTTAATAATTTCAGAGAGTGGTTTTTGAAGCCAATATGATAATTGCCAGGAAAGCTTTCCTATCAAATAATATAGTGGAGGGGCACCTGGGTGGCTCAGTCACTTAAGCACTGGACTTTGGCTTAGGTCATGATCTCACAGTTTGTGGGTTTGAGCCACACAGTGGGTTCTGTGCTGACAGTGAGGAGCTTGCTTGGGATTCCCTCTCCCTCCCTCTACTTCTGCCCCTCCCCAATCACACTTTATCTCTCTCTTTCTCTCAACATAAAATAAATAAACTTTAAAAAATACATTGTAATGTTGGGCACCAGAAGAGAAAACAATTTATACTCAATATTTTATTATTGCTGCCTTCATGACATTAACGTATTTCACTCTCAAATGATGTGCTTTCTACACAACTAAATATGATCTCAAAATTCAGCAGGGTAAGACAAAAGTATGAATCTTGCTTCTTCTTCAAATTGTTAAATATTAAGAGAAATACCAAAATGTGCTATCTGTACTCTTCAGGGCTACATTCCTTTCATAAAAATTTCAGTTCTCCAACATTTAATATTTCATACCTCTAAAATTCCTTTTCTCTTCTTTTCTTCACTGTCTGTGAATCCACTTATTATTTGATAACAGTCTTTACAAACTTTGTTCAATTTTCCACCATCGTACTCAAGTTGAGCTTTGTAATCAGAACACTTCCAACAAACCACCTTAAATTTAGAAAAATGAAGAGTAAACAATCATAAAGATTTAAGTAATAATCACTTATAGTAATGTGAAATGAGAAAGAGTTAAATATTTAAGGCAAATTTTTACCAGACTAAGAATATCCCATGAACATTAGGAATATTTATCATGATATCATAATGCTGTTGGTGACGGGCTCTGCTTGTTCATCATGGTCTTCCTTGCTCTATAGGTAGGAGACCTTTACCTTTCATACCTCTGGATGTTTCATCATTATGCTCCCGAAATGAACTCGGGATCGTCCCTGCTCTGAAGCTGTTTCCTGCCTTTACCCTACTCCTCCAAACCTGTTCCCTACTAACGCTCCCTGTCACGGAAAACAGCACAGCCATCCAGCCAGTCACAGCAAGTCAGAAACCTAAGAGCCATAGTCCTCAACATATCCCTCTACTTCACCCCACAGAATCACAATATTACAAAGTCCAGATTTTATCTCCTAGATATTTTTTTCATTTGTCCATTTCTCTACATCTTCCTTCCAAGTCCAAGCAGTCAATATCCTACTTGGGACTACTGCAGTCTCATGACTGGTCCTGGTAGCATTCTTACTGGAGCACTCTCTAGCCTATTTTTACATCCCTCCAAGCTATTTTCCAAACAGCACCAGATACTGTCTTAAATATGCTAATCTGATAGGTCTTTCCTTTATTTAAAATCCTTAGTTTTCCCTTTGCTTTTAGGTAAAGAATACCCTATATATTGGCCCACAATATCCTATATAATTGGCCCCTCTTACTGTCTGTATCACCAGTGACACTGGCTTCTTAAGAGCCCCTGAAGTGCTGTACTCCCGTCCTCTCTCATCTAGGCTTCAGTGAGTTATCTCTTGTTCATCATTTAAATGTTGACTCAGATTTCACTTCTTCAAGGAAGACTCCTCCAAATTTCAGAATAGAGAACTGTCTCTTGCCACTGTGCTATTGAAACTACTTTTCTTGATGCACTTATTAGTTTTTAATCATATACTTGTATGATTAATTGATTTATGTCTGTAATGCTCACTAGGCTGTAAGCTCTATGAGAGATCATCCTTGTAGATTTTGCTCACAAGGCACACAAGAAAGTTAGAATGCCAATGAATGAATGAGTACAATGCAAATGTATTCTATTTCTTAGTGAATAGCATTTTTTCTAATTATTATATGACAATTGTTAACACTTTCCAGTTTAAAAAATTATTTTTGAGGAGCACCTGGGTGGCTCAGTTGTTTACTGTCTGATGTCAGTTCAAGTCACGATCTCATGGTTTGTGGGTTCAAGCCCCGTGTTGGGCTCTGTGCTGACGCTCAGAGCCTGGAGCCTGCCTTGGATTCTGTGTCTCCCTCTCTCTCTGATCCTCCCCCAATAGTGCTCTGTCTCCCTCTCTCTCAAAAGTAAATAAACATTAAAAAAATATTTTCTTGGCCATAGCAACATTTTACTAGAATGTCTCCTGAGGCAAGGGAAACAAATGCAAAAATAAACTATTGAGATTTCATCAAAATAAAAACCTCTTGCACAGTGAAGAAAACAATCAACGAAACTAAAAGGTAACCTACTGAATGGGAGAAGATATTTACAAATGACATATATCTGACAGTTAGTATCCAAAATACATAAAGAACTTATAAAGCTCAACATCAAAAAAATGAATAATCAGTTAAAAGATGGGCAGAAGACGCGAATAGACATTTTTCCAAAGAAGACATATAGATGAACAACAGACACATGACAAGATGCTCAACATCAGTCACCATTAGGGAAATGCAAATAAAAACTACCATGGGATATCACATCACATCTGTCAGAATGGCTAAAATCAACAACACAAGAAACAACAGGTGTTTGTGAGGATGTGGAGAAAGGGGAACCCCCTCACACTGTTAGGAATGCAAACTGGTGCAGCCACTCTAGAAAACAGTATGGAGGGTCCCCAAAAAGTTAAAAATAGAACTATCCTACAATCCAGAAATTGTACTACTAGCCATTTACTCAAAAAATACTAATTCAAAGGGATACACGCACCCCAATTTTTATTGCAGCATTATTTACAACAGTCAAACTATGGAAACAGCCCAAGATCCCACTGACTGATGGATGGATAAAGAAGAGCTGATATATATTACATACATACAAACACATAATGGAATATTCCTCATCCATAAAAAGAATGAAATCTTGCCATTTGCAACAATGCAGATGGAGCTACAGAATCTTATGCTAAGCAAAGTATATCAGAGAAAGACAAATACCATATGATTTCACTCATATGTGGAATTTAAGAAACAAAACAAGCATGGAGGGAAATAAAGAGAGAGGGAGAGGCACACCAAGGTTCAGACTCTTAACTAAAGAGAACAAACTGATGGTTACTAGAGGACAGGTGGGTGAGGGAATGGGTTAAATAGATGATGGGGATTAAGGACTACACTTGCTGTATGGAAGTGCTGAATCATGATTTTGTACACCTGAAACTAGTATTACACTGTACATTAAACTGGAATTTAAATAAAAACTTAAAACACATACACACACAACTTTAAAAAAAAGTATCTTCTTACTTCAAAAAGCATATTTTCCCCCAATTTGTTGTGGATAAACTATTTAAAAATATATAAATTTTAGTAAAACTTTTAGTTTAGGTTCAGAGCATATACAATTCATGATAAAAAAAAAAACCCACTATTTATTGTTGGGGTGCCTGGGTGGTTCAGTAGGTTGAGTGACCCACTCTTGATTTCAGTTGAGGTCATATTTCCAGGGTCATGGGATTGAGCCCCCTGCTGGGCTCTACACTGAGTGTGGAGCCTGCCTGGGATTCTTTCTTTCTCTCTGCCCCTCTCCCTCGCTCATGTTCTCTCTAAAATGAAAATTTAAAAAAACTTTTTAAAAAACTCAATTCATTGTTTTCCTATAATTGAAATGAAATCACTCTAGAATTTAGATTTAACATGCCTGCAGTTGCATATTCATATCAGCTACTCTTTTATTTATTTTCAACTCATATCATAGTATTTTGGTAATCCACATTCAAACACATTTGTTTGTCTGCTGAAGGCAAGTATGTTAGTCAATACCGGAAGTCATTTCAAGCAAACTCAATGGCAGATTAAAAAGTCTTACCCTGAGGGGAAAGTTTGCTATCAAATTGAACTTTGATCACAGAACTGTTTCACTGAGAAAACTTACAAGAAAAGCAGAAAAATAAATCTGCAGTAAGAGACTAATCTAGATGAACGATCAATAAAAATTGTTGCACTTCAGCATACTAATAATAAATTAAATCCCTGCAATGCCTGCCCTTCTGTTTACTTGTTGCTTTTTAGAAGAAAGTATATAATCTTAAACTTGGTATACAGGGCCATGCAAAGTCTGCTGTTATCCCCTTCCTCATTTCATGTCTTGTACCTCCTCACTCTTTCCATATAAACAACTCAAATTGCTGAAAACCTGTCACCTGCCTCCTCTGGCCTGAGTTGTTGAATTTTGTGAGACTGTATGTCTTTTACATATATAACCATAAACCTCTAATGGGCACAGAGAAGTCCACACCTATTCCTCTGGGAGGCTCACTTCCCTGCCCAAAGACAACCATTTCATACTGAACCCTCTTTCTTGAATCTCCTTCATCCCTCTTCCCCCTACTTTTCAGCTGATGACTCTTCCTCATACTTCAATGACAACATAGTTATCATCAGACCTAACATTTCCTATCACAAAATCAAAAACACAGCCACATTTGCACCCATCATTTCGTTTTCTCTTTCTGTTATAATGGAGGAAATTTCCCTCTCCCATCAAAAGCCTGAACTTCCATTTATGCTATATGTTCCAACTCTTGTTTTCTCAGAGGCATCAACTCCTTTGGTAATTATTTACCTCTAACTATTTCTTTTTTTTATTAAAAAATTTATTTTAATGTTTTTATTTATTACTGAGACAGAGAGAAACAGAACATGAGTGGGGGAGAGAGAGACACAGAATCCAAAACAGGCTCCAGGCTCTGAGCTGGCTGTCAGCACAGAGCCCGATGTGGGGCTCAAACCCATGAACTGCGAGATCATGACCTGAGCCGAAGTCAGACGCTTAACCAACTGAGCCACCCAGGAGACCCCGCCTCTACCTATTTCTTATGCCCCAGTTCCTCTTACTCATTAGGCTCCAGTCCCATGACCTCTGGCATCCAATGGAGGACCCAACTTTCTCCTACCTCAGGCCTTCTGACCTACAGAGCCACTGACCACCTTTCCCACCTCCCTTGCATTGGTTAGCTCTTTCTTACCTTTTAGGCATTAATCAGCTTAAGTATCAATGCCTCAGACAGGTCTTCATTTTTCTAAGTAAAATTGGTCCCAAGTCTTCCTCCATTAACATCATTCTCTATTCTAACTTCTTAATTGCCTTCTTAGTGTCTTTGTAGTAATTTAAAATGCTTATTTGTCTATTTACTTGGCTTTGGTTATTTTCTCCATTAAAATGTAAGCTATGTGAAATTGGGTATCATTTTGCTTACTTTTTTTCTCCAGGAAACAGCACAGTGTTTTGTACATAGCTGTCATCAAAATAGGTTTATCAATTAAGTGATTTATTTAATTGAATAATTTTTTTTGACTTTTCAAACTGGATGATTTTACAATACTAGCAGCCTTCATGACCATTAAGAAATCTCACTTACGTGTCCACATGCTCGACAATGATGTCTTCTCCTTGTCAGTGCATTGAAAGACTCCTTGCATTTCATACACATCGTGACTTCATTATCTCGGATCCATCTTGGAGCTCTTTTCCCTAGCTCAGCAGTCTAAAAAGGAAAGAGATTCAATTTTACCAGAAAAAACTGTCATTTCCATCTATTTGTTAATTACTTATTTATTAAAAAGCACTTCAACAACATTGCTTATATCATGCTCTGAAGCTCAAGATCCAGGAAAAGAAGGAAAAGGTACAAAGAAGTTTTAGCAGCACAAAAAAGGCACTTGCTATTGTATTTATGTAAGAAAAAAATGAGATTCTGTCTAGCCAGTTCTGGCATTGCAAAGAGAAAAGGCAGGATAAGAAAATGACTAGACAAATCTGCAACTGCAAAAAGAAAAGAATTTAAAGAATTTAATTCAACTTACAGAAACCTCTGACTGCATGTCATTATCCTTTGCGATTGCATTTCTGAAGGTTTCATTCCTCTGATGGAAAGCATCAATGGTCTCCTGAAGAGCCTAAAATATAAATGAGATTCAAAGCACACATTAAAATATCACTTGGAAATTAATGAAAATGCCTTATCAAACAAATAGCTATGATGTGGGAATGCCCTTAAAAATTAAATGACCTTGTTCTGATGACACTGCTGTATGTGTACACTACAATATGTGCAGGTGTCTGTACATACAAAGGTTACCAAAAAATCAAAAAATGAAAATAGAAATCCGGTTTACCTTGATCCATTCTTCTTTGTCTTGCTCAGAACTAAAACAAAACAGAATACAAGTGAATGCAGAGAACATTAATGAGTTATAACTCGTGAATAAAACTATGCTTTAATGCTGTTTCAACTCCTGGAAAATTCAGGGATGCCTGGGAAAAAGTTTCAACAAAAATTAAACAGAATCTTTGGCAACTGAACAAATAAATTCTTAAAAAAAATTATGGTATGCATAAGTTTTGAGCGGGAGAGTTAAGTTTAGCTTCCATCAATATACTGCCCTGATATGTTTGACAACCATCATCTAGCTGAACATATTAGGTAACTGTAGATGTAGTTATACCAGATATACAACTAGTCTTCCAATTTACCTTTAAGAAGACATATGAGATTTTCAAAGGCTACTCGTCATGGTCCATCTTATAAAACATTACAATTATTCTCTAGAATCTAAAATATATTCTCTGGAATCTAAAATATCTTTGTAAGACCTTAGGAAGCTATTTAATATTTCCTCTGAAAAACAATTTTGCTAGAAAATTTTAGGCAATGCTGTATTTAACCTATTACAGATAAAGCAAAACAAAATTTTTAGATGCTTGTAGGAAGGAAGTTTCACAGATTAATAAACTCCAGCATTTAATAATTTTCTCTTGGGAAAAAATTTCCTTGACTATAGTCAAATCTTCCTATTTTCCTATTGAGGCAAATTCTGTTTAGTTCATCTTCCCTGCAGAGAGCTTATACAGCTGGCTGCTGTCACAGAATATATTAGAAAAATCCCCATTAGTAGACTCTGGACTGAGCTACATCTTCAATTTGGAGGATTCTGAAGAATGTCAAAAGAGTGGGGTTCCATTTGTTTGCATATGCTTGGTAGGCTAGGTCTGAGTTTGTGTTCCAGCCTGAACGTCACATGCCTCGCTCCCAAAGGTGTCACATATAAATGAGTTTGGCAGGAGCTTGGCTCTTATGACATCATTTATCTTTCCAGCAAATTTATTACTGAGCATCATAATATGCCAAGAATGTAGTTGGAATCTGGGCCTCTCAAATGGAAGATTCTGCTTATTTTTCACCTGGGGATCCTTGGACCAAGAATCTGACTGGGGAAGGCTTCAATCTTGCCCCTCAAAAAAGATTTCTCCCTACTGCAGTGGCCTGCGTGGATAAAATCAGTTCTATTGTACTGTAATCATAGTTATTTCCTAGCTGTTCTCAGCCTTTTAAGTGCAAACAAACCTGACAAGTCTTTAATGCTCTTTGTATTACTATCTCAGTCATGGCAGATTTTTTTATTCCTCTAATTTACTTATTAGTATGTTTTTACATTCATTTAGTAATATAAAATCATGAAATAAAAACTATTTAAGGCCAAATACTTTATATTCTTTTAAATATGGAAGAGAGAGTAGAATGTAAGAGGCCAGTCTTAAGGCTGACTTATTCTGCAAGAAAAGCAGAACTCTTTTTTCCCCTAGTTGGTTTCAGACGCGAATTATCTGTAAATATCTTCAAATATATACCCAAATAATATAATCCCTGCTAACACTCTGATGTTCTGAGATTTTCAATGTTTGTTTCTATTGAAAGAATCATAGACTGAAAAGTAATCACTTAATTCAGATCTTCAATTCACCATATAATCATAAATATAAGTGCAGCAGTGAGCTTAGGGGAATAGGAAATTTAAGGAAACATGACCGTGTTTTCATTACCAGTTGAAATGTATCCAATACTGCATATTGGAACTCTACAAAGTGATTACTGCCTGTACTTAACAAAATTCCTCATGAATCAGTGCCATCCTGAAGAGAAAACAGCCAACCTGCTAATGGAAGGCAAGAGTTCCCATTAGACAATCCCTGAAACTTTCATAATCTCTCTTCTGCTGTTTCGACACGTCTCAGGTTTGCAGATTTGGAAGTGTGCTGGCATTTCAGAGCAGCAGCGCCTCATTCTTGCGCAGTGAAGACTTCTCTGATGGTCAGAACTATTGATAAGTCCTTCCTGTTGCCAGAACCAATTACTCAGTGAGTCAGGCTCTGAGGGAGGATTTAGGTCAGGAAACTCCAAACACCTGCATAATACATTCTTCCTTTGGGTTTGATAGCTGGGGCCCAAATCCCACCATAAGGCAGGAAAACGATGGCATTCAAAGCCAAGTCCTTTATACTTTTAATTAATGCTTGAAATGCCACCTTCTAATCCTCAGAGCAGTCCCCTAGCAGCTCCCTAAGTAATGCCAGGTTGAGTAGAGATTTGCTGTGGGAAATCAAAGAAGTGGCTGGCTAGTTCTCCAAACTTTCCCAGCCTGCTATATCTCCCATAACTGTAATATCGCCAAATTCTCTGATTCCCTGGCCAGATTCCTGCTAAAATAAATTATTCTCTTTTGGAAGTCTGAACTTCAAGCTTTTATGCAGCTACTAAACACAGGTATCCAGGATGAATCCATCTGAGCATCCAGAGCCACACAATAGGGGCAACAGAGCAAAAAGAAACAGAAGTGTTAAAGGAGCCTGTAAATTCTAGGGTATCAGAACCATCAGAGCCAGGATTGGCACTTAACCCTTTGATCTATGACCTTCTGAATGTTCCCAATTTTCATCAGGATAGGCCTTTGTAGGATAAATGGATGACAGTCTTCTAAGGCAGATATTTCAAAATCTGACAGCACGCCGTTTTCTAGATGTTCACACTTGAGGTAGTTAGGACCCACTGCAGTGGTTCTCATGTTTTTTCCTCTCTAGACATGGTTAGGTTAGGCAGATGGATGCTACAAACTCCAGCCCTTTTTTCCAACTAAATGAAGCATGCAAGAAGAACCATCCCTTTCAGAAGTCCTGGTTTCTAGAGGCCACTAAAAGCCCCAAATGGCCCCTTCACATATCCTCCAACTGTGGCAGGAGAATCATTACCTTTCCTACCCTGCCTCTTCTGAACAGTCTCTCCATCAAAGTGCCAGCAAGCCCCACAAATACAGAGACACTGAAGGACTGACAGTTGACGCTTCAACATTTAGCATGGAATATTAAGCATCAATAAACACTGTGCACCAACAACAAGGGTGGAGGGAGGAAGAGTTACGGGAGAACATTTTCCTACAAGTCTCAAAACCCTGGCCTGAACGCAACAACTTTATTCTCTGAGCACCTTGTAAATCTGAAGAGGCAATGTAACCTGAATGCTTACCGTCTGAAAACAGCTATCCTAGGCACTACAGAGGAATCAAAAAGGAAGACATGATTCTTGCCTTTTAAGAGCTTCTATTTCTTCTCTTACATCGAACCAGATTCTCAGAGGTCTACAGCATTCACTCAGGAAAGACCCTCAGAATTATTCTGTCCTACGACTCCTTCCAATGCCTGTGGAAAGCTGTGTGGCAGGAACGACGTTCTCACCTGGCTTGTAGCTCCAGCGTTCTCTCTTTCCCAGATACCTGGAAAGTGTGTGGATATTCTTCATTGTGGGTCTCTACAATTTTCATTCCATCGATGCCAACCCTGGTTCGAACTGTGAATTTAGAGCCCACCAAGCTGAATCTTGGGACACAGTACAGCAGCATGTTGTTGAACTACAAGAAGACAGAACGCACATCAACAAATAGGAAAACAAAGAAGAGGAAAGTGACTAATATTAAAAGTAGCCCTAGACAACAATTCCAAGGGATTTCCAGAGAATATCATACTTTCTATGTGAGCAAAATTATTGAAATATTATATTGAGATTTTATGCTTATATCAAAATTACCTTATTTTAAAATTTATAATGTATTTCTCTTTATTGGTTCATAACATTTAATTAATTAATTTATTTATGTTTAATGTTTTTATTTATTTTGAGGGGAGGAAGGGGCGGAGAAAGAGGGAGAGAGAATCCTCAGCAGGCTCTATGCTGTCAGAGCAGAGACTGACATGAGGTTTGGTCTCACGAATTATGAGATCATGATATGAGCCAAAATCTATAGTCGGATGCTTAACCGACCGAGCCACCGAGTGCCCTTCATGTTTTACTGATATTTAAGTAAGCCAATCATCATTCTGTACTATTGAGAAAATCAGTTCAATTAAATTCAGCAACAGTTTATTAACAACTTTCCACATACCAGGAACTGAAGTTCTCAACCACATAAGTTGAAGCCCTTAGGCGTCAAAATTTCCAATTGTTGTGTCTTACAAAGCAAGTCTACAATAGTTATTAGAGGAAAAGAGTAACATTTAGCAATTATTTTTGCCAGTGTGATTAATATTAGGTTAAAACCCCCCAAATTATTACTTGAGAATGTGTGGGGTTAACACCCTAAGCCCTACATAAAAATTTAACTTACTGTTTTATATTGTCCTACATCTTAAGAATTTGTCATGTGTAAATAGAAAGGTCATCTATTTTAGCAAATGGTTTTTAAAGATCTTCTTTACCAGATCTGCTTTTAAAATCAAGGACTTTTGGGGCACCTGGGTGGCTTAGTCGGTTAATCATCTGACTTTGGCTCGGGTCATGATCTTATGGTTTGTGAGTTCAAGCCCTGCATCGGGCTCTCTGCTTGTCAGCTGTGAGCCGGCTTCAGATCCTCTGTCTCTCTCTCTCTCTCTCTGCCCCTCCCCCACTCATGCTTTCTCCAATTCAAAAATAAACATTAAAAAAATAAATAAAATGAAGGACTTTATTTTGAAAACTGAATCAAATTATGTATAATGCCTCATTTCTAGTCAATGATGAACAACCCCTGCTACTCAGGACCAAGCAGTAAGTTTGGGGAGGCATTTAATTCACTTTTGAATATATTAAACCATGCAGAAAGAGGAAAGACTAAATACTTAGGTTAATCTGTAGGCAGATTCCTAAAGAAGTCCATACTTATCTTCCCCCTTCCTATTATCATCTCTTACCCTGTTTCTGGAGTCACATACATGTTTTTGAAGACAAGAGCAACTGGGGTCTATGCACTACATAACCTCTCATGTCTCAAGATTATTACCTCTCAAAGTCACAGGTTGAGACGATTACATGAAGAAAAATGTCCTGTTCTGCCAGGTCCATTTTGGCTCCACCCAAGCCATCAAGACAAGAAATCTTGATGGGTTTTGAAAACATCTCAACCTGTTTATGTGACACTGTCCATTGTACTCATTCTGAAAGCAGATTTCTCATCAGTTGTTCCTTGTACATTATTATGCAACTTCCTGTCACAAATTTCGTCGTGAATTTCATTTCCACAATTGATAATGTAGAAATAAATACACTTTTAACAGATACATCTCAGCACCACATTTCACATTTAGATTTCTAGAAGAGAACCCTAAGGACCTATGCCCTATCATTAATGGTCTGCTGTGTTCTAAGTATGGCAATCACCAGCCTCACTGCAGTACACAGGACTTAGGGATGTGAAAACACTCTGAAAGGCTCTCATCATCATCCCAGCTTGGTTCTGGCAGCAGCTTGCTGCTGTCTGTGTTAACATCTCTCTCTATCTTGTATGGAGGCTTTCTAGGGAGGGCATTTGCTCCAGGCTGAGCACAGCGCAGCAGGAGTGGCAGAGCCACCGACAGGCGCAGGGCTCGACTTTCAAGACAGCAACAACAGCCTCATTTTCTGTAAACTGAGGGACAAACGTAATGTCATGGCATAAAACTTCAGAGTTACCTGTACTCTGTTCACATTATACAGTTAAGCAAAGTCTTGTTCTTTTACAGAAATACCATCCATGGATGTGGAAGTTCCTGGCATTTTGTTTTTGCAGTTACACTCATACAAGATGACAGACTCTTGTACAAATGATGTGTTTCTCTTGCTGGTTTATGCTTGCAGGATTACGTTTCCCCTATTCTTCCTAAGTGGGGCTTTAATTCTCAACCATCAATAACTGCTTTATTACCCTTCCAGAACTCAGGTCACAATATAACGCTTGTCAATAAATAGCCCTGTTCTTCTTTCTTACAGCTGAAAGTAAGAGCTCTTGATGGACACAAAATATTGCTTACAGTGTAGTAGATGCCACATATGTACAGAATTAGGTAGTTATTCCTGTTTCTTCTGTGATCCCTGTTCCTGTGGCAAAAGCCCCAATCACCTTCCCTCTGGGTTTCTACAGGTACTGAAGGAGGAAGTGATAGCAAGTGCAGCACCAAGTAGATTGACTTTCCCTTTCAGTGCAGGAGATCCCTTCTTATCCATGGCCACAGCTCAGGGTTGTTATAGACATGTAATCGCTGGCTGGTGAGCGAACTCCAGAAGTGCTAAGCTAGAAGCCAGTCTCAATTTTATTAAAAACACAGGGTGAGTCCCCCTTCTTGATCTCCAATGTCCTCAACTATTCATATCAAGTTTCTGAAAATATTTATTTAACCGAAACTATTCAATTTCATATCTCACGAGTGGAAGTTTCATTTCAGTTTGTTTTAAAAGGTAAAAGTATATTGTTGGAGAAAATTTCCAGTGCCTGCTCTGTATTCAAAGTTTAAATAAGTCAAGGGAGAAAAAAAATAGAAATCTGTCCAGCTATAAGCAAATAAAGGCTAGAACTCCAAAGGGCCAAGAATAAAAACCTCTCGGGTCATTCTGTAGGATAATCTGGTGATTTTTTTTAAATGTTCAGATATCAAGTGTGGTTATTTAGTTTAGTCAACAGAATACCCTGCAGTAATACAAACAAGCATGGTGTGGAGGCAAGAAAATGTGCAAGCCCATGAAGGTCAGCTGAATGCTGAAATCAGATTTCTAAATGCAATTCGGTTTTTTTAGAGAAATGTAATATCGCCAGAGCAGGATACAGAAAACTAGCCCTCATATTCTTTCTAGAGGCAAAAATAAAAAAGGTTGCTGAGGTTACTAGGTATTAAACATGAAGACACTCCACGCGAAGCGAAGTGTGCTGGCAAGAGGAAGGTGTGTGACAAGTACAGTGCAGGGGTGGAGGGGGGCAGGGATCAAGAGAACAGACCTACAGAGATGCTCTTAAGGTGGTCTTCACCTTCACAAGACAAATGCGGCTTTCTAGTAACTCCCGCTCTAGGACTCTGTTCTCCCGGGAGGCGACAGCAAGAGAAGTTTGACAGCTTACAAAAAGTAGAACAGGATGGTCCTTTCTCCAAAGTCACTATGGCTGTAGTCCCCCAAGGCTCCTTGCCATCTGTCCTCAGAATAGCTGCTTAATTTGGCTCTGCACCAAAGTATTCAACCTGAAACCATTTCCAGGATAATTCTCAAATGTGAAGATGAAGCCGAGGCACTTGGTTAGACACAGAACTAGAAGCTTAACTACTGAAACAGTCATGCAGAAGATGGGAAAGGAAAATTATCTAAGCTCCTAAAGGAATGGGAAAGGCAAAGGGAAGACATTAACTCTCAGGCATTTAGCCCCAAATAGTATATTAAGCATGTCTTTTTAATCTGTATTTTTTTTAAAAAAGTTTATTTATTTTGAGAGGCAGCAAGTGCATATGAACGGGGTAAGGGTAGAGAAAGGGAGGGAGAGAATCCCAAGCAGGCTCTGTGCTGTCAGTGCAGAGCCTGATGCAGGACTCGATTGTCATGACCTGAGCCATCCAGGCATCCCTAATCTGTATTTTTGATGCTTTGACATCGTGGGGCTTTGGTGACAATGAAGGGACTTGTCCTGCTTAGGGTTACCCACTTCCTAGAAGTAGTAAATGACTGACCTACATCCATGCCTTTCATATGGAAACCAACCAATCCAGAGGCCATACCCCAACTGCCTCCTTTTTTGAGCTATTACACACTGGGCCAGTATATCCCTGCTCTAATTACTCAGGGTCAGGCACCAGACAACAGCTAGTATACACCCCAGAGCTGATGGGACTATTTAAACTAGTAAATCCTAAGCCTATTTATTTTGTCTTGCCCATTCCTTCTCACTGAACCCCCCAATAAACGCTCTTGCTCATATTTTCTGTTTGCTTCCCCAGCCTCCTTATGGACCCTGGTGCTTTCTTGTGTAAACTCCCATGGTATGGCATGCCTCTCCTCTGGGGAATCTCTGCATATAATGCTCTTTATCATGGCAATTGTCTCCTGATCTAGTGGTCTCACCATACCTTAACAGCAAAATATACATTTCAAAATAATTAGACTGCAGAACCCTGACAGGACATCACAAGTCCCTGATTTACATTTTTAGCTCTCTGTATGACCTATGAGTGGTGAGGATTTTTGTTGATCTCCAATGAAGATTTTTGTAGTTAATTTGGATAATATCTATAAATCGGATGAAGTTAGAGAGATAATTCATATACCATAAAATTTACCCTTTTAGGGGCTCCTGGGTGGCTAAGTCGGTTAAGCGGCCGACTTTGGCTCAGGTCATGATCTCACGGTTTGTGGATTTGAGCCCCGCATCGGGCTCTGTCCTGACAGCCAGCTGAGCCTGGAGCCTGTTTCAGATTCTATATCTCCCTCTCTCTCTGCCCCTCCCCTGCACATGCTGTCTCTCTCTCTCTCAGAAATAAATAAAACATTAAAAAAAATATTAAAAAAAATTACCCTTTTATAATGTACAATTCATGATTTTGGGTATAGCTGTAAATTGTGCAACCCATCAACCATCCCTACTATCTAATCCCAGAACATTTCATGACTCCAAATGGAAACTCTGTCCATTTCCTCTTCCCTACCAGCCCTAGGCAACCTCTACTTACATCCTGTTGCTCTGCATTGCCTACTCTGGATATTGCAGATAAATGAAATCATACAGTATGGGCTTCTCTGAATGGCTTCTTTCACTTGTCAAAGTGCTTTCGAAGTTCATCCATGTACCATGTATCAGTGTTCCATTCCCTTTTACTGCCATATAACAGTCCACTGCATAGATACACCTATATCCTTATGTCCAAATATTTTGGCTATTATGAATAATTCTGCTGTAAGCATTCACATACAAGTTTTGTGTAGACATGTTTTCAATTTAAAAAATTTTTTAATATAGTTTATTGTCAAGTTGGTTTCCATGTAACCCCCAGTGCTCATCCCAACAAGTGCTCTCCTCCATGCCCATCAACCCCCTTCCCCTCTCTCCCACCCACTCCATCAACCCTCAGTTTGTTCTCAGTATTTAAGAATCTCTTTTGGTTTGCCTCCCTCCCTCTTTGTAACTATTTTTTTCCTCTTCCCCTCCCCCATGGTCTTCTATTAAGTTTCTCCTGATCCACCTATGAGTGAAAACATATGGTATTTGTCTTTCTCTGACTGACTTATTTCACTTAGCATAATACCCTCCAGTTCCATCCACATTGTTACAAATGGCCAGATTTCATTCTTTCTCATTGCCATGTAGTATTCCATTGTATAGAGAAACCACCTCTTCTTGATCCATTTGTCAGCTGATGGACACTTAGATTTTTTCCATGATCTGGCTATTGTTGAAAGTGCTGCTATGAACACTGGGGTACATGTGCCCCTATGCATCAGCACTCTTGTATCCCTTGGGTAAATTCCTAGCAGTGCTATTGCTGGGTCATAGGGTAGAATTATATACAAACTTGGGAGAATTGCTACGTAATATGGTGACCAAGTGTTCTTTTTGAAAAATGAGAGATACTGAACACTACTATGCATGATAATTAGTTCCTGTAAGTTTTCCTTTTCAAGGAGGCTGTAACCAGAGGAGAAAAAACCTTGTAAGCCCCAAATAAGCTCATAGTATGGCTGGTGAGTGGGCTGCCTCACAGCAGAAAGTCAGATGTGAGTGGCGTCCTGAGATGGTATGAGGGGCCAGTCACTGGGCAAGCCTCATGACCAGTGTGTTCATTTCTTGGACAATAATAACAATCATAACAATAGTTACCATTTACGAGCTATTACTCAGTGTTAGCTTATTGTTACTCCATGTTACCTATTATTCTGATTATGATCACATCATTAGATACTGAAAGGAACCGGGATTAACAGAGACTAAAAACATAATGGCCTGGATGGCCCAGGAAGTGCTCTTTCCATTTGAGATAAGCCTCAGACTAAATGTCATTTCCAGGAAGTAAAGGAAAGGACAGGGACTATGAAAAAGGAACTATGTGGCAAACTCATGCACTTTTCACAGATATTTTAGGCACAAGCTTCACAACCTTGAGTATACACTTACTCAAACTGGAACGATTAAAGTAGCTGGTCAGAGAGGATTAGGAAGAGAACCCTTGTCAGAAAAATGGTACCCATTAGCCTCTCAGAACAAAAGGAAAGAGAGAATCTGAAACAAGGAAAATTTGAGAAAATATGTCCTGCCCCTATCACTGATGGCTAAGATCATCATGGACAAGTTGTCATCAGTTGTATGATACTGAAGTAATTGATACACGTGGTAAATACACACAAAAAAATTATTTTCAAAATACTTTAAGATTTGTATTCTTGAAGGAAAAAGTTTCAGTTACTAAAGGACATTCCCTTATGTAGAATCCTAACAGTACTGACTAAATCAGGTTAGATGGAATTGCTTTGGTGAGCAAGCAAGCATCCTACTCTTTCAAGAGGTACAGAACCACATCTATGAATTACCGTTATGTGACCAGCTCACACTAGAATACTTACTAAGAAAAGGTAGCGTTCTTGTGCTGATGTGTTCCGAGCAGCTAGTTTCAGGATCTGTCCTTCTTTTATGAGTTCGTTTGAAGGATTGACAATGTCTTCTTCCTCTCCCAACATTTCATAAATCTCTAAAAGTTTCTTTAGATTCTCCTAGGAAATGAAAACAAAATACAGCAAGAGCAAATAAAGGGAGGTTTTTACTTTAGCGGCTTTAATAATACAATGACCTTAGCTAAAATACGGATAATTCGGACAGGATAGGGACTAAGCATAAATTTGGTATAAAATGTGTCAGTTTTGAGCAAATTGAAACCTGGGAGAAGAGAAGACAGGATTATTCCATATAACACTAAACACTTTATAAATAATCTTTTTTGTTCACCTTTATCAATTCATTTTGGTCCAAACCTGCAGAAACATTAGGCTATATTACTGACAGTTATCTAACTACAAGATTCCCATCTCCTTTGAAAATCACTTACCATTTTTCTTATTGCACTATTAGAATGGCTTGCTGCTGTAGATATAATTTCAAGTGATTCTAAATGGGAAAAAGAAAAGTTAATAAATATATTTTGTCGTTACTATGCTACTAGGTAGTTGAATAGTAACACCATTAGTAACGTAACACTACAATAAGAAGAAATCTGACACTGAAGGTCACATCTGACACCAAAAGCAGGGGCAATTTCCATTTACAAAATGGATACTTTCAGAAGTTCATTTGTAAGCAGATTACTTGCAACTTGAAGGATTATTTCCTCATAAATAGTCATACACATTTTTACATATGACCTGGATAATGGACCTTCAAAATTAACAAATACCATGTACACTTTGCCAGATGCTTTTATGTGTATTATGTCACATAACTCTTACACAGCCTTGAATGGAGTTTCTGTTAGCTCCACTTGGCAGATGAAAGAAATGGCAGGTGATGTGGCTTGGCCAAGGTCACACAACTATGATACTGTAGGGTCACACTGAAACCTACGTCTTCTGATTCAAAGTCCTACAACACTTCAGCACTAATACTTTTTTTATTAGTTTTAGAAGCTAATTAACCACCACACATAACCAACTTTCTTTGGGAAAACAATTCACAGTTCTACTCTTGGTTGGGCGAAGGGGAATCAGCTGATACTAATGCTGATGGAAGGTTCTGCTCCTGCGCAGGCAGTAGGAGAGGTGGGAAAGGAGCAGTCTGGTATGGATAAGGTAGGAGCCTGGGTGCCGCTAGGGAAGGGCTGTGGAGGCCGCGGCCTCCTGGAGGATCAACCCCAGGGAATGCCCTCAATCCTAAATCATGTCCTGCTCTTTCTTTTCTATCTTAGGAATACCAGCCTGCTTAATTCTGTTACCACAACAACCTCATTACTTCTGGACCCAATTCTCTTCTTTGTTCTGTGGCTGAACAGAATGACAGAATGTGCTTTTGTGGCTTTGTCCTCTCTTTTGGGTCTCTAAAAGCACTTCTGTGATTTCCTCACAATTTTAGTTTAAGGAGCAATGGGAAATCAAAAAGAGAAATAAAATGCCCTAATGTTCTCGTTTTTTGACACTGCCACCTTAGGGCAAGTCTTCTGAGTTTAGAAGAAACTGAATTTTTATTTAGATTTTGGAGAACTATCCTGATTGGGGCAATTCTGTGCATTTCACACAGGCTCCAAGGTAGAGGGAGACAAAATAAAATAACCTGGGACCAGCAGTTTGAGGAGGAGTAGCTACCACTAATTCTGTCACCAAAACCAACCACTTAGCTGCTCAGAGGAATGTGAAGTGGGCATGAAGTGGAAAGTAGAAGTCAAGTCAGGAGAATTCTAAACTGTAAAGGGAGAAGGGGAAGAAGAGAAGTTCCTGTGGCCACTGCCTCACTGGATGGCAGGAGAAATGCATCAGAGAAAGCCTGTGTTCAAAAACAGACCCAGGCTGCCAAGACCAAAGATTGTGTTCTGTGTTCCTCATCTCTTACCAGGGTTCACTTACAATAAAGACAAGAAATTATTACCAAGGTACCAATGTTTCAAAGTTGTACAACAGCACTGTCAGTACTTGGCATGAAGCCATTTCTGTTAAATTTTCATTCTTCCCTTCAGTTACTTGATTTTTTAAAAAATTAAAGTAATTTTTAAAAAGTAAGCTCTATACCCAGCAGGAGGCTTGAACTCATGACCTCTAGATCAAGAGTTGCATGCTTTGATTTTTGAAAGTACCTGAGAAAGATAAAGTACTGAAACCCCTGACCCCTAAAAAAATCACTTGTTAGGACCTGATGAAAAAATAAAAGGCAACTGGAGGAACAGGAATAAAGTTTTCCCGAGAAAATGTTAACTGACACTAAAAAGCATCATTTTCTCTTCTCTTTTAGGGTAGGTAGAGCCAAGTTTGCTTAGTTTATTTTTACACAGTAAATGTCAGGTTAGCTTTCTTGGTATGTATCAACCTATCTAATTAACCAGCAGCACCAGTAATTCTGAATGGTTCTATTCTTCCTGTGAGAATGTAATTGTATATTGCTATTCCAGATGTCTCTAAGACTACTGTTTCAGATTTCTGAGTTAATGATTAATGTGAAATCAGCATGAGACATGTGATTTCCCTTTCTCTAGACCTGTGATCTGAGCTCTGAAGTGCTGACCTAATTGAGCTGTTGATGATAACTTCCAGTGAGGCTATTTTTTGGCTGCAATATCTTACTAAATTGGCTGTTGAGACCTATCTCTCTCTTTACCCACAAGGCTTCCTGGTCACTTCATTACCCTAGAGCAGAAAGGGGGTGGGGGAGGAGCATTTACTTTTAGCATCGTTCCAGTCTGGAGAGTCAGGGGGCAACTTCCTTAGGTAGTCCTTGAGGAGCATCTCATACCGGGGGATCCGCTGAACAGGTTCTAGCATGTGGTGCTGCAAAGTCAAGCTCCCGCACACCTTCTGTCTCTATAAAGAGAGAGGTTTTTAAAAAAAGATTTAAAAATGAAACTGGCCAATCTAAAAATGGTCATATGGAACTGTGATCATGGACAGGATTTCCCTACAAAGTGTGCTCTGTGGATCACTTGCATTAGATCGATCTAAGGTACTATTAAAAATGCAAATTCCGACCCCATCCCAAGCATGAAACCACAATCTTTGAGGCTCAGGCCTGGGAAGATGCATTTTAAAACACCTCAGTTTCTTACACCATGAAAGTTTGAGGCCCACCAATCTGGTATAAGAACAGAAAGGAAAAGCAAGCAAATTTTAAGGAAGAAAATTCTGATTGCTGTCAATGACTTCAGTTAGTCACTAGAAAGGTTTGTGTGGTCACATTATTGAATCAGACTCCAGAGATTTTTAAAAGATGCATGTAAAAGAACCTAATGAGGTTCACTAGGCACAACTGCATTCAATGACTTTGGACTCGGCAGACACTATTTAATATTAAGGCTACCATAAATGTCATTTCCTTTGAACTTAAAGAAGATTCCACAGAGAAGAATGACAAGATCAGATACCAATATCTTAGGATCTGTCACAAAATTTTAATTTTTCATTAGGTCATGGCAGTCTTTTCCATTAGAAACTGAACTCTGTAACTAGATCTCCTTTTCTTACAGCAAAATTGAGTCTATATAGCCTTTGCTTTCAATAAGCTGTTGCCATAAGACAGGGAAAAGATTACTTGAAAAATAAGATGTGTTCTTAATCATCTTAAACAAACCAGCAATCCAATTAAAATAGTTATTGGACTCCTACTATGATCATGGCACTACAGGGTATACAAGTTGTCTTAAGACATGATGTTTGCATTCAAAGCAAACAAGAAACTAAAGTCTTCACAGACAAGAGAGTATTCAGCATGAACTCTGATGAGGGCAGCTGCTGGTGCGAAGAGAGGTGAAGACCAGGGTCAAAGGGCAGGAAAAGGGACCTTGGAGAACGGCCTCACAGTAGTCAGGCATGAAACATGTTGAGTTTTGTTGGCAAGTAAGATATATACGGGGAAACGGGATGAGGAAGAACAGGTCATCTGGGGTAATAAGTCAAGCTGAGTTTAGACTTGCTTCATCTAATGCCGGTTTTCATGCAGGAGAGCAATATCATTAGATTTGAGATGTATTTAGATTAACTTACTTCAGTGTGGCTTAAGCTACTGCAGTAGGGAGACGTGCGGAAAGTAGTTTGGAAGGGATTATTGTAGACCAGGAAAAAAGTATAGAGTCTGAAATCAGCATGGAAGCTGAGGAAATAATAGCTTTATTTAATAAAGTGTAAAATATTAATGGTGCAAGTTTAGCCATCTCTCTTGATTTTCTCCAACAAACCTATAATATATTATAACATATCTATGAAAAATAGAAAATATTACTGATCCCCATGAAAAATAGAAAATATTACTGATCCCCACAGTTTTGCATGAAGAAACTGTGGCTCAGAGAAGTTATCAAATCAAGGACAAAGCTAACTTATCAAACCCTGGTGAATGAAAAAATATTGGTTCTGTGTAATAATCACATAACCACAAGCTACTCTTTACAAGGCACAAAAAAATCAAGATGTAAAAAGGACTTGGGAGTGCAAGGCAGGAATGGAACATGTTGACTGTGTTTGACAGCGAAATGTCTACACAGAGTTGTGTAACCAGCACTAGGCAAGTTGCAATGACAGTTTAGAGGTAAGAAACAGACTAGAAACAAGGACCTTAGAGGCATCTGTAGGACATGATGGTTAAAGCCTCATGAACTTGTGACATCACAGAGGGTGTGAATGCTGAGAAGAATGTGAAGGGCCACATTCTGGTACTCTGTCCACTTTCAGTAAAAGCAAAAGGGACTAGTAAAAGAATCAAAAAGGAGCCAGCATTCAGAAAGAGAAGAAAAAGGAAAAGAGTGAATGGGAAGAAGCTAGACTTTTGATTATGCCTGAGGGAGGAGACTAGCAAAATCCTCCCTGGAAGAAGCTACTAGAAAAGCTGGGTAAAACTGATAAAACAACCCTTTCAGTACTTTGGAAATTGACCAAAGGCATAGAACAATCTGAAAAGTATTTATGCTTTAAAAACTGTTGACCTTTGGGTAAGAACGGTGAGAATCTGTGGCATTCTGGCCTGGGGCCATACCCATTCCGCCCCTAGCAAAGGAAGTTTCAATGACCGGAAGGTTCAGCAGGGGTGGGGCTGGCTGTGAGGACTGGCAGTGTCTCTGCTCAAGTTCACGGAGTGCTCATTAGATTTGGAGTGGTGAGCAATGCATACACACAGCCACGTTGGCGGTAATAGTGAACAGTTGCAAGGTGGGCGAGTGGAGAAGACCAATGGCTCCACTAGGCTGAAGCCGTGGTTGTGTGTTGGTGGGGGGTGGGGGCATGGATAATAATTTTCTTGGCTGAGGCTACGTGGATGATCAGCAGAGACTAAAACAGCTTGACTCAGCATTGTCTCCTGGTCACCCTGAGGCTGTGAACTCACCCTGAGGAGATGTAAAAGGGTCCAGCGGACATAACAAGGGTCTGATCTTTAAATGTGGTCCCCCCTAAGCATAGACAGGTCCATGCAGAGGACAGAAGCCTGCCGGCTCTAGGTAGTTAATCATCTCTTTTCTGTAACAGTTTGACCCCTAACCTACACAGGCATAGAGGTAATCCCTACAAAGCTGGTATCACATACACACACACATGAATATTAAACGGAAAAACTGAGCGGAGACATTGGCAACAGCAAACCAGGAAGGAGACAGATTCCATAGATTTAGTATAATTGTTACCAAACAAACAAAAGTAACCAAAGCCACTTTCAGTGGGGGAAAGCAAAATTCGGAGTTGCTACAATAGGTTATCTAAAATCTCCAATATTCAGCAAAAAGATGAGACATTCAGAGAAACAGTAAATTGTTACCTATATTGAAGAAAAAAGGTAATCAAAAGAAATTGTCTCTGAACTCAGATACTGGATATAGCCGACAAAGACTTCAGTGTAGCTATTATAAAAACGTTCAAAGAATTAAAGGAAATTGTATTTGAAAAACATGAAAAGTGTAACAACAAAGAATGTACAAATAGCAATTGTCAAGGAAGAAGCAGGTGTTATAAAAAGAACCAATGGAAATTCTGGAGTTGAACCGTACAATAGCTGAGATGAAAAATGCACCGCACGGACTCAACAGCAGATTCCAGATAGCAGAAGAAAAAAATCCAGTGCGTGGGTGGCTCAGTCTGTTGAGTATCAGACTTCGGCTTGGGTCATGATGTAATGGTTCATGAGTTCCAGCCCTGATCAGGCTTGTTGCTGTCAGCACAGAGCCCATTTTGTATCCTCTGTCCCTCTCTCTCTCTCTCTCTGTCCCTCCCCTGCTCACTCATTCTTTCTGTCTGTCTCAAAAATAAACACATTAAAAAAAGAAAAAAAAAGTCAATGAACTCAAAAAAAGATTACTAGAAAAAAGATTACTAGTAATCTAAAAGATTACTGAAGAACAAAGGCTGAAGAAAAATGAATAGTCTCAGAAGCTTGTAGAATAACATCAAGAATGCCAACATATGTATACTTGGAGCAAATTATTTGAAGATATAGTGGCTGAAAACTTCTCAAATTAATTAAAAAAACCACTACACATCCAAGAAATTCAATCCTAAGCAAGATAAATATAGAAAGATTCACACTGGACACATACTGTTGAAAGACAAAAGCAAAGAGATAAATTTGAAAAGAGCAAGAGAAAAACAATTCATCACATACAGAAAATAATACAATTAATAACTTCCCATATGAAACAAGAGAGAACAGAGTACAGTGAAATGATACTCACTTTGCTGAAAGAAAAAAACAAACTATTAACCAAGATTCTGTATCCATCAACACTACCATTCAGTAGTGAAGAAAAAATAAAGATGTTTCCAGATAAACAAAGACCAAGAAAATTTGTTGCTATCCAATCTCTGCTTTCCAAGAAACATTTATCAGTCTTTTAAAAAATTTTAACGTTTATTTATTTTTGAGAGAGAGAGAGAGAGAGAGATTAAGAGCAAGCAAGAGCAGGGGAGGGACACAGTGAGGGGGACACAGAGTCTGAAGCAGACTCCAGGCTCTGAGCTGTCAGCACAGAGTCCAATGCAGGGCTCAAATTCACGAACACTGAGATCATGACCTGAGCCAAAGTTGGATGTTTAACTGCCTGAGCCACCCAGGTGCCCCAAAACATTTATCACTCTTTGTAGAAAGGAACTTACTTTAGAAATGGTAAATATATGGATTAAAAATATTTTTATAGATACATTTTTTCTTATATCCTCTCTTCTTTCAAAGATACAAAATAATTTTATCATGTATTATTAGATTTAAAACAAATATAAAGGTAATATATACAATACTAAAAGCACGGTGCATGGAGGAAATGAGCTACAATGGAGCAAAATGCTGGTATTTTACTAAAATTAAGATTAGTATTGTTCTGAAGTAGATTGTGGTAAATTATGATGCATATTATAATTCCTTCAACAAACAGTAGGAAAAAACATTTAAAATTTAGAATTAAAATAAAAAATATTTATATAGCACAAAAGAAAGCAGAGAAAAGAGTAGCAGAATCCTCACCCCACCCTCACATGAGAACCTTATATGATCTAGAGAATTCCTTTTCAACATTTAAACTTTTTCAAATAATAAGTTATTAACAACTGACTAGAGAATCAAATAGAAATCACTATGGTGTTATTAAAATACATTACCCAGGTTTGGCAAAATTGAAAAAAACTCAGGACACATATGTAAAGTGACACATACACACACAGAATAATAATGTTTACAAAATGTCTGGTTTATGGCAATCATTCTTTATATTCATGTATATATTCATTCCATCAACTCAACCTCTGAAAGAAAGCATGAGAGACACAGACCTGAATGGGAACTCACTTTGTAAATTCATGTGAATCTTTATAAAAGCTGGACTCTCCTGGTCTCAAAAGCAAACAGAATTTACTGCTAAACACATGGCACATGCTCAATAAATGTTAATTCTGCAGAGATGATTTTTGCATCATTCAGAATAACATGGAGTTTGGCGGCCTCAGAAAGATGTCTCAATCTAAACTTTAGATCTAAAAGACCTTATGATTTGTACAGGAAAACTAATTCATAGCTTTGAACAAGAGTCCAATTACCTGAATTTCTTCAACTACTGATTTGAACTGGGGAATACGCTCTGTCATGTTTTTAACCAGTTCCATTGCATTATCAAATCCCTTCACATATTCTCCATACATCTTAAGGAATGGTGCCAATTTCTGAAGGATGTCACCAATTCTAGGGGTAGTTTCCCTGTATAAAATATAGAAACAAGTCATTAAGATTTCTTACAGAGTAAGTAAATTAATAGGACTTCAAATGAAGTGATCACTTTCTATACACATTCTGTGCTTTATCAGATCCACCTTGCTGTGAGATTGGTAGAGAATGAAGCAGTACCTTTTTTTTAAGTTTATTTTTATTTTTGAGAGAGAACATGAGTGGAGGAGGAGCAGAGAGAGATGGAGACAGAATCTCAAGCCAGCTCCAAGCTCTAAGCTGTCAGCAGAGCCCAAAACGGAGCTCAAACTCACAAACTGCGAGATTATGACCTGAGGTGAAGTCGGATGCTTAACCAAATTTAAGCCACCTAGGCATCCCTGAAGCAGCATCTTTTTAAGGGGACTTTGGGAATGATATAGTAAAGAGAGACGCTATAGAGTTTTTAAAGCTCCAAATTACCCTGAAATCTTGTCTCCACTAATCAAAAGATAGTTTGGAGAGCAGAGATGAAATCCTTTTCAACCAAAGCTAAAAATGTACCACAACTTCTATCGGTGGTCTTTACGGTACAAATTTAACACAAATGTTTGGCTATAGCTCTGTATAGCATTATTGTTTCAATTTACAAGTAAATAACACAGCATCTAATATGACTGCCTTAGACAAATCATTTGCCATCTATTCCTCTTACCATTCTTGCATTCGTTTTTCCAGCTCTGGCAATAGGAATTTACTATGGAAGGCATTTATTGATGAAATATTAGAAAAGATTTTATTCACCATCTCTGCTGAAAATGAGCCTCGATTTGCTTCTTCCAATAATTTGCAGTAAAATACCTGAATAAGAGAATAAAGCAAATGTTACTTCAAATTTACTGGTGAACCACCTACCACTGTGCTAGGCATAGCGGGCTCTTAGCAACTTGTTGAATCAGTGAACAAGTTCATGGTCCAAGAAATTAATCATTTTTGAAATGGATGAGTATATGCTTTGGTTGAGAAGACCCAGAAGTTAGGATTAGAAAACTTGACTCTAACCTTGGCTTTCTCTCTATTTTGGGGATTCTTCTTTGCCAGAGAATTTCCAATTGAGGTAAAAGGACTTACTTCTATCTAAAGGTAGAGTCAAGAGAGATGGAAGAAAAACTTTATATAAATCAATAATTGTGGTATTTTTCATTCTTCTTTATGTTTTCAATGACTTCGACGGCACTTACACCGTATTGCCCATTACTATAATTTGCGGGCATAAATCTCGCTTTCCCTATTAAAATTGTCTGCCTTTTTGGGGAGGGAGACCATGAAAATTTAGTTCCCACAGAAGAACAGGTGCTTAATAAATATCTTGGCCAATGGATGAATAAAAGAATATTTCAGATCACAGATGTTTACTTGCTTTTCAATAAGTAATAATGCATGGTAACTTAAACACTTATAAGAGGATGCAAAGATCTTCTGCACGTAACAACGGACATCTTAAAGACACTTTTTAAAAACCTGCAATCTTAGCTGATCTCCACTATGGCTACTATACCTCTTAATTGCCATTCTGTTAAATGTAGGCAGAAGGAGGTCTGTTCCTTCAAATGTCCAGATGGTTGTTAATTTTCTAAATTCACCTCCACTGCATTTTCTTGGGAGGCAAAAAGAACACAAAATCATGTCCTTAGAGACTCCAATAGATAGGATATTTTAAGTAATTAAGACTCTAAAATTCTAAAAGGTCAGCAACAGTAGCTGACAAGCTAATACGGCTGAAATAACAAAAAAGAACAAAAACAAAAAAATCCCACAAAACTTGTAAGACAAAAAGACATGTCTCCACGATAGGAATACCTAATACTTCAGGTCTGTATTCCCCTCAGGGGAAATTGTTTCAAACGTATAAACGACATGACTTGATTGACTTACAGTGAAACTCTTCGGGAAGTGAGTGTTTAAGTCACAAACTCATTATTTCAAAGGACAGAAGCCTTAATGTGGGCCCTTACAGCTCATCTGACAGGGCCATAGTCCACTCTAGGAATCAATGATAAGGAGGTATACCCAGGATGGCCTGTTCCCACGAAATTCCAGTTTTCCAATGGCAGAAGTGGGAGAATTCTTCTTATAGTTAGCACTCAAACATGGCAACTTTCTCTTCTAATAATAGGAGTCTATATTGGCAATCTACCAGTTATCTTGTTCTTTTATCACTAAAACAGTATTAAGAAGCCTTAATAATTTTTAAGTGATTCTTTGTAATGTGTATTTAAAAAGATACTCAAGGCCCCAACATGACTAAAGTACAAAATGTGATAAAGTACTTTGAATGCCATTTCTAACAAATATTGACTGCGCAAGTTACACCAGGCGCTATATTAGATGTCTCCTACAAGCTTAAACAAGTGAACGCTCAAAATTCCTTCTGACCTATTGCTCTATTAGTTCAGATGACTCACATGGGTCTGAACAGCACACGAGACAAACAGAATCAGTGACATATTCATGCAGGCATTAGAATTACCAATCTCTTATTTAGATTATAATGGAAACATGGCTCTAAAATCATAATAAATGGGCACGAAACAGACTAGTGTTGAGGAATGAAAGATACAGACAAAGGCATTTTGTGACTCATACGTAGAGTCCTTGAATCTGCTCTTTATGAACTGAAAAACCTTTATGTCTAGTGTATTCACTGACAAAGCTAAAAATTCTAAAGATTTCCTTGAAGAAAAAGATTTAACTGGCCAAAAACAGTCATGCTCATCTCTAGTTTCTAAAACCCCTTGACTATTAAAAATGATATGCAATGCAAAAAAAAAAAAAAAAAAAAAACACCTGAAAGGGAAAATATTACCTTATCTAAGAGGTCAAGTCGGTTGACATAAGCTCTTTCTGTAAGCAAAAGTTCATTGGCTATTTTGTGAAGTTTTTGTTCATCAGTTTCCTAAAAATAGAATAGATACCCACATATTAGGAAATAAAACTTAGACAATATTTTTCAAGAAATAAACACCTTATCAAATGGTGAAAAAGTTTTCTCAAGCTTCTCAGGTACCCAATTCCTTTCAGCCATGAAGGACCATCCAACCAGAAATGAACAAAATTAAAAATAATCAATCTGCTAGATTTAACCTAAAACAACTTCTTTAGCCCCTGTCAAAATCAACACTATCATGTGTTTTGCCCTTGAAACACCTTTTATCTTTCTCAGACATTATATTTGGCTCATTTTCTCCCTGTCTCTCTCAGGCTACTCTTCAGAAATGATTTTATCACTCTTTCAGATAATTTGTCTAATTGTTAGCTCTATGCATCTAACTTTATGCCTTTAAAAAAACACATTAGGAAAAATTTCAACCATATATGAGTAAACAGCAAAATGAATCGGCATGTATCCATTACTGAGATTCAACAACTATCAGCTCATTGTTAATAAGGCTTCATCTGTGTCCCCCTCCCTCCTTCTACCCATATTATATTGAATTAAAAACAAATAAGTTATTATTTCCCCAGTGTATGTTTCCTCGGCTCTTAAATATATTTGTAGAGCTTTGATAGTTCTGTGAGAATGGGATCATATTTTTTCTTGGTAACTTGATAACTCTCTCCTGCCTAGTACACGGCTTCAATAAAATACTGGCATTTGATAAAATATTGCTGAATGAATGAATGAGTAGCAATCACACATTTCTATTGTTGGACATTTACTACCACTTTGACATGCTGTCAATGTAAGACCAAACTCATCTTTTAAGGAAAACCTCTATGCTACCACCTCCCACCCCACGCCACTGGAACTCTACCAGCCTTGCAATGGTGCCATTCTTTTCCAGTTATTTGCCTTTGGTTCCCCGAATCACTGTAAACTTAGCTCCCTAGCAGAAAACCCAGGCTGCTACAAACTCCTACTCCTGTGGTATCTTTAGCATCCATCCTTCTAATTCTCATCACTGCCACCTGGTTTTTCTCTTACTGTATCTCAACCCCAGGCTAATCAAGAACTCCCATTTTGAACTGATTCTACTATTTTTTTGGCTCTAACCCACCCTGTATGCTGTTGTATGAGCAATTTTTCTAACTCTGCTTTGCCAAGACCACTCTACTTTCCATAGAAAGAAAACGTCCAACAGCCCTCCTTTCACCAGTGGGATAACAGCCAGACTATGTATTATTCAGGGTTGTTCAAATTTCACCCCTACTCATTGTCTCAGACTTCTTTCCCATTGTATCTTTGCAGGCACCCTCCCCTCCAAACACACAAATCTAACCCACCATTATCCAAACGTGTCCATGGTCATTCCCAAACCTTTCTTCTTTTCATCCTCTCTGCATAGCATATATTCTTGCTTTCTCTCTCTAGGTATATAAGGCATACTTTTTTTGGATGGCCTGCTGAATTTTTATTCCTTGTCCATGGAGCCTTCTTCAACTACTCAGAGCCCTTGGGCTTGGTTCTATTAGAACACATTTTCTATTTTATACTTAAACATCTTTTTGTTGAGAAATTTCTACCCAGCTACTTTGCTAAAGTGTCCATTTCATTCTAGGCAAGTAAGAAGCATAGTAAGGGTTTAGTAATAACTCTATCATCAAGGCAGAACAAAGTATATTTCTTTTTTCCTTTCTTTTATAGTTTATTGTCAACTTGGTTTCCAGCACTCATCCCAGCACAAAGTAGATTTTAAACCAATGTCTAGTTTGTATAAAGGCTACATTTAAAATTGTGTATAAAATTCTATTACACTATATAGTGTGCTTCACTGTGTTCAACATATGAGGTTACCATGTTACCACTTACAGCAGCACTGAAATGAAGTATTTTTATGTGAAGGCTTTAGGTAAAGTAACATAATACCATTTAAATAATCTGTGGTCGCAAAAATACTGAAATTAAAACTATATGGTCATTAAATACCACAAGTAGCCAAGGTTTTGGTTAAACAATCAATTCAGGGGGTGTCTGGGTGGCTCAGTTGGTGAAGCGTCCAACTTTGGCTCAGGTCATGATTTCGTGGTCCATGAGTTCAAGTCCCACTTCGGGCTCTGTGCTGACAGCTCAGAGCCTGGAGCCTGCTTCTTATTCTGTGTCTCCTTCTCTCTGCGCTCTTCCCGCACTCATGCTCTGTCTCTCTCTCAAAAATGAATAAAAACATTAAAAACATTAAAAAAAAACCCAATCAATTCAGGGTAAAGTACTAGCATTGTTGTCTGTTTGACATCCTTTCCCTCTATTTCTTAATGATATCCAGATTTGTTTAGTATATCTATCTTACTACTAGGTAGCCTTCCCTTTGGAGAAACTACCGTCATTCCCCAGATGAAAAGGAGGGCCCTAACTGGTGTAACAATCAAGAATACACAGTGACTGGTTCAAGAGCCAATGAGAAGAGGGAATATACACTGGGACTACCTACTCTAACGGAAGAGCCATACAAAAAGAAATTTCTCTTTTATGCTCCATGTAAATAAGGGTATCTGTGGACCTGAATGCTATAAGCAGCCACCCCATAACCACAGAGATGAAGCTAATAAACTTCCTTATTATTTAAGCCAGGTTGAGTGTTACTGATGTTATTTGTGTTAGAAGCATCCTAATATGGAAAACTGAAATACTATGAAACATATGGGGTATATTCTGTGAAACTGAAAAACTCTCAAGTAATTTTTAAACAATTATTGCTTATAGAGGAGAAAATAAAATAATGAATTGAATATGTGACTTACAAATCTATAATAAGAGAACACAAATATGTAGTAAATATATAAGAAATATATCAACATTTCAGAAGGAGATAAATGTACTATTTGACATACTCAAAAGAAATACTGACCTGCATCAATACTATAAGCCATTTGTGTGGGGTTTTTAAAATATTTATTTATTTTTCAGAGAGAGAGAGAGAGAGACAGAATCTGAGGCAGGCTCCAGGCTCTGAGCTGTCAGCACAGAGCCTGACACAGGGCTCGAACTCACAGACTACGAAATCATGACCTGAGTTGAAGTCGGACACTTAACCGACAGAACAACCCAGGTGCCCCAGCCATTTGTGTTTTTGTAAGCCAGATTTATTGACATATAACTTATAAATAGTAAGATTCACCTTTCTGGCATATAGTTCTAGGAGTTTTTACAAATATTTAATACCATCATCTCACTACCCCAGTCAAGATAAAGAACATTTCCACCCAAACTTAAGTCTCTATGGTTGGTCCCATCTCTCTCCTATCACCCAGTCTTGTTAACAGTCAGATCTGTCTTTTTAGAGAAGGTTCTATAAATGGAATCACACAGTATGTGCCTTTTGAGTCTTGCTTCTTCCACTTCTCAAAATGCATTTGAGATGCATCCATGTTGTCATTAGTATTAGTGGCTTGCTCTTTGCATGACCTTAGTTTTATTCTAACAGAGGTACTGTAACTTTGTGACTCACTCACTTTCATATGTTCTGATTCTGACAAATACCTGTAAGGAAAACCATCCAGCAAAGTATGTGCCATGATAAAATAATACATCCTTTACGAGTCAGAGAATTCATTAACCAAAAGGTCAAACTGTCTATTATTGCTACACGATGAAGTCACTCCTGAGGTCTTCCACATCCTACAGGATCTTAAATCGGAAGCTTATAATAAATGATCTTTTGCTGACTCTAAATCATGCTTTAGCTGAATGAGGCAAATTGTGGATATCCTGGTCATATTTTGCAAAATCCAAGGGAGAAGCCAGCAGTTATTAGCAAAAGCTATGTCCTTCCACAGATGGTCTTCTAATGTTAGGTCCCTGACCTTGCCAAAACCAACACAAATTAAGCAAAAGTAAACTCGCTGACATTTGGTTTAATCACTCACACACAGGTTTGTGAAAAGTTACTAAGGATTTTTACGGAAGAGGTGAAGAAGTCACGGATCCAAACAACAGGGTTACCGTGAGAACAGCTAACGATTATTCACTGATTGCTTGTTATGGACCAGACACTGGTATAATTAATTTACATAAATTGACTAATCCTTACAATAATTCTATAAAATAGGTACTTTATCCCTGTTTTATCGTCAGCACATACATACAACAAAACAAAATTCCAAGGCTCAGAAAGACCAGATGACTTGCTCCAAGTCACATGGTTAAAAGGTAACTTAATCAGATTCCAATCATATAAGAGAGCATGGGCTTTTAAGTCACTGGTCAGTAAACCTTTGGCTCTCACTCTAACTCTTTTCTGCAACAAGCAACAAGACTGTAATAAATGCCTGCAAGGGAATAGACTAATGAAGTAGAAGCTATCCACTTAAAAAATGAAATGTGATATCTACTCTGCATTTTAATGTATGCAATCTTTCTCTAATATAAATTCTATTTATGGCAGACTTTTCAGCATTTTAGTAATAATCATCAGGTATTAAAATTCAGTCATATTTGATATAATGATATGATGGCTTCTAACTTTAAAAAATTAGTTACTGAAACTCATCTATGAGTATATTTAAGGAGAAATACATGCATCTATCTGGATGCCAGGGGCTCTATTACTCTATGAGATAGGGTTTTTTAAGTTTATTTACTTATTTTTGAGTCTGGGGGAGAGGGGGAGAGACAGAATCTCAAGTAGGCTCTGTGCTCAACACACAGCCTGACGTGGGGCTCGAGCTCACAAACCATGAGATCATGACCTGAGCCAAAAATCAAGAGTTGGATGCTTAACTGACTGAGCCACCCAGGTGCCGTGAGACTTATGCTTAAATAACAGACAATGTTGTTTTAAAATTGTTAGTACATTAGAGATGTAGCCTGGTATTTTTTTTTTTTTTTTAATAAAAAGTTAAATAGGTAAGGTCATATATTGTTTCTTATTATTTGCCACTTCGAAACTATATAACCACTACTTTTGTGTTTAGCACTTTACTAAGTCACATATTCTTGTGATTCTTTGGAAAATAGTAATG